CTCTAGAATGGGTAAACCATTTCACAACTGCACCAACAGTACTTGTTGTATTTCTCCAGTCATTTCAGTCATGCCATGCTCTTCTGACTCCATTTGAGGTTTTCTCGGCAAAGATACTATAGCAGTTTGCCATTTCCTTTTCCAGTTCATTTTATTGATGAGGAAACTGAACAGAATTAGGTGACTTGCCCACGATCACACAGCTAATAAGTGTGTGAGACCAGATCTGAAGCCACAAAGATAAGTTTTCCTGATTAGACCCAACACTATAACCATTCTCTTGACTGGCTGCTCAACTAACAGTGTGGTAGTTTCCTAATTTTTCCATATCCAAACAAACATTTTCCCATTCTGTCATCTTAGCCAATCAGAGAGGTGTGAAGTGGTGTCTCAGAGTTCTTTTAATATGCATTTTGCTAATTGATAGTGATTTGGCACATTTTTTTTTTCTGGTGAGTATTGATAGCTTTAATTTCTTCTTCTGAAACGTGCCTATTCATAGACTTTGACAATTTCTCCTTCGAGTAATACTTTGTATGTTTTTTTTCTAAATGTGGCTCAGTGAAATGAGATGTTTTTCAAAGATATTTGCTCTAAAAATTATCTTTCCTGCTTTCCTTCCAATTTTGGCTATAATAGTTTTGTTTGTGCAAAACATTTTTAATTTGATGCAAACAAAGTTAGTCATTTTGATTCCTCTGATCCTTTCTGTCTTTGGTTTGGTCATAAACTCCTCTTATCCATAGATTTGAGAGGTCCATTTTTCCGTGCTCTTCTAATATACATATATGATATTGCTCTTTATGTCTAAATCATTTATCCTTTCTGACCTTATCTTAATATTCAGTGTGTGATGTTGGTCTATGCCTGGTTTCAGCCACACTGCTTTCTAGTTTTGCCAACGATTTTTTCTCAAACCCTGAGTTTTTACCCTAAAAGCTTAGATCAATGGTTTGCTATGGTTATTTATCATTGTGTATTGTGTACTTAATCTATTCCACTCAACCACTACTGTATTTCTTACCCAGTACCAGATGATTTTGTAACATAGTTTATCATCTGCTGTTGCAAGGCCTTCCAAGTTTCATATTTTTGCATTGATTCCAATGATATTCTTGAGTTTTGTTTTTCCCCAATGAATTCTGTATTCTTTTTTGATTTCCATAAAATGATACTTTGATAATTTCATTGGTATGGCACTGAATTAGCATAGGTATAACTGTCATTTTAATTATATTAGTTTGGCCTACTCATGAGTAATTAAGATATCTCCAATTGTTACAATCTATTGTTATTTGTGTGATGAGTGTTTTGTAACTGAGTTCATATTGTACCTGGGTTTATCTTGGCAGATAGACGCTTAAATATTTTATATTGTCTACGGATATTTTAAATGAAATTTTTTCTAGCTTATTCATCTGGGTTTTGTTAGTAGTAGATAGAAGTGCAGGCATCAAGATGGCCTAGTCATAGGCCTGAAGACTTGGAAACCTGGGCTTAAATCTGACCTCAGACTCTCACTAGCTGTGTGACCCTGGGCAAGTCATTTGATCTCCATTTACCTTAATCTACTGGAGAAGGAAATTGCAAATCGCTCCAGTATGTTTGCCAAGAAAACTCCATATGGGGTCAGAAAGGAACATGACTGAACAAGTCAACAACTTATCACAGTGCTTATTATTTGTGTAGCTTTATTTTGTGTCTTGCAACTTTGTTAAGTTGGTAATTGTTTGAATCTGGTTTTGAATTGATTTTCTAATTTTCTCTAAGTATATCATCACATCATCCACAGAGTTTTCATTCTTCACTGCCCATTTGTATTCAACCATTTTATTTGTCTCATTGTCACTTGTCTCAAATCATAACTGGAAGGAATCATGTTTGTCCTTGTTAAAGGTTGTTTGCTCTTAGTTGTAGATATTATTACTAAACGTTTTAAGAAATGAAACATTTATTTCTATGCTTTCAAGTTTTTTTACATGAAAAAGTCTTGTGCTTTCTCATTTTTTTCTCAATCTATTGTGATAGTCATGATTTTTCTTCTCTTTGTTATTGGTATAGTCAATTTTGCATCTACTTTTATTAATATTGAAACAGTCTTATATTCATGTAAAACACATTGGTCATAGGATATAATCTTTGTGATATATTGCTATAATCTCCTTGCTAATATTTTATTTTATGTTTTTGTGTCAATATTCATTAAAGGATTTAATCTATACTCTTTAACTCTGTGTTTGCTCTTTCTAGTTCAGGAATGAAAAACTATATTTGGGTCCTAGAAGACATTTCCTATCGCTCCTTATTAACCCATTTTTTTCAGACACTTTATATGTTTATTATTGTGGTAAATTGTTTTGAAAAATATTAATAGAATTGTCTTGCAGATGCACCGGGTACTGGAGATTTTTTTCTTAGGATCCTTTTAATAGTTTGATCAATTTCTTTATACAGGATGTTGAGGTTGTTGTTAATTACTTGTCTGACTATGTGCCACAGTAGATGATATGATGCCGAGTTCTTCTATATTCCACTATCTCTCAAAGTCTGTCCTAGTTCTTGTTTTTTTTTTTATTTTCATGACACTATCTATTCAACTAATTCTCTGTCATCCACTTTTCCTTTTCCCTTCAATCTTTCTCATTATCAAGATTTCTTCCAATGAGTGCCATCTTGTCATTATGTGGACAAAGTATTTATGCTTTGGCTTAAATGTTTGACCCTCTGGTGAATAGCCTGAATTAATTTCTTAAAGAATTGACATATTTGATCTCTTTGCTGTCCAAGGGACTCCCAAAAGTCTTCTCCAGCAGCACAATCCAAAAATGTCAAGTCTGGAGCACTCAACTCTCCTTACAATCCAACTCTCAAAATTTCAGTTTTCCTGAGTTCAATTGTTTCTAATTCTCCCTCTCCCTATTCTGTTGATTTACTTCTCCATATTTAACAAATATCAAAAGACTTAAATGGCTGCTTTTTATAATATAGTTTGAATTCTGCGAGCACCATTCATTCCCTTTCATCTTGATTTTTAATTCCTTATTTCCTTTAGTACTCTAGATTGATCATTTTTTCAAATAAATTTAGTTACAATGTTACTAGGTTCTCTAAAGTCCTCATTGAATGTTTGATAAAGCATTTAATCTGTAAACTGACTTTCATAGTGTTGTCATTTACTTATTCTCTGCTGAAACAATCAAACTACCAAAGAATTACTTCATAGAGCTGGATAACGTCACCAAATAAGGGAATGAATTTAAGAGTTTTTTTTCACTTGATTATCTCAGATTAGTTTAACCATGAGCAATTCATATTTATCCAATAATTTAGATCTTCTTCTATTTTTGTGAAGAGCTTTGTTATAATGTGCACATAGTTCCTGTGTCTTATCAGATAAACTCTCAAATGTTTTACACTGCCTGTAGTCATATTTCAGGGAATTTCTCTTTCTAAGACTTCCTGCTTCATTTGATTGGTAATAAACAGAATTGCTAATAATTTGTGAGGGTTTTTTTGTATGTCCTGCCACTTTGCTGAAGTTATGCATTATTTCAAGTAGTTTTTAAGTTGATTCTCTAGGTATCATATCATAGAATCTGCAAAAAGTGATAGACACATCTTGTCTTCTTTTTGTTCCTCAGGATGAACTTGATTCAATGTCCTTAACTCACTGACATGGGGATGGAAATTGTATGGGCTTAAATCTGAAAGTGAGGGACTTGAATTTGTCCCAGGCACATGGGTCTGGAACATTTTCTGTCCTAGAAGAGGAATTTTGGAACACAAGAAACCAGGAGTATAACCATATGGTATGGCATGTCCCCCCTTACCTTGGCGGTAAGGAGATCCTCTGACCTGACACTCATCCCCTGCTATGGAAATCACAAAGGAACGAGTTCCAAAGTTTCTAAATTTGTAGAAGGCAAATGGGTCTCAGATTTGTGGCATACTTGTGAATGCACTGTAGAGGAGACCGAACAACCTTAAGAAAAGGGAGATCTAGATTATAGTATTTTTGTCCTCTTCTTTACTGCAGAAAAATTAGTGCATTCATATATATATATACATATATATTATATATATTATATATATAATATATATTATATATATAATATATATATATATAAAATGCTGTCTATTTTGTCACAAAAACAAACCAAATGGAAGGATGCTGCCTGACAAAAAGGAATGGGGAATGAGATGAGTAAATAATATGACCTCAAAAACATTTTAATTGAAGTACACTTTTGAAAGAAAAGACAATAACTACTAATACATGACTACTTTCTCATTTTTATTATGTCTTATGGCGATCAACTTCTGATATATCCAAGCTACCATTACTGAAAGTATTAGAAGGGAACAATAAATCTTTGGCAAAAGTTTTCTAGACAAGATCATGACTTTACAAATATGTGATTGATGGAAAGGAATGAAAGGCACAATAACTTCTGGTGCTTCTTAATTGGTAACAAATCACCTGACTCAGAAAATTGATTAGATCTTAAACAACCTCCACCAAATCTTCTCGTGGCGATATGTTCAATTCATCCAATCATAGTTGATATACATATATATATATATATATATATATATATATATATATATATATATATAATGACTCCTATAACTCAGATACACAAAGTGGGGAAATATTATAGTGCCAATTTTGTAAAAAGGAAAGCAAAAATTTAGGAGGCTGAATGTACTCATCAAAGTTTAGAACTGGACACAAGACACTCATATCTATAAATTCATGGATTTTTCAAACATTATGTTAAATCATAATTCATAAATTAAGTGTGTGCCATATGTAAGAAATTTTAAAAAAACTGATTTAATTTGACCTCTATTCAGAAATCAGGCAATATGTAACTGCTTTCACAATGCTATTAGATCCAGATGAAAAAGAAATAGGTGATATTAACAGAAAAAAGAAGGCAAATTAGGTGGATCCATTTAAAATATTTTGTTAAGACTGTAGGAGGCAAGAAGCTACATCAAAATGATTGGTGAGGAAGAATTTGAGAAGATCTAGCTCCACAGAGATTAGCTTTGATTTTCACTATCTCCAGGGTATTTCTGTCTGACCTCAGAAGGATCACATAGCACTTGGGAACAAAGATGCAAGTCAGAATCCCAGCACTGGAGGCCAAGATGGAAAAGACTTCCACGGCCACCATGGCTTTCCCTTTGGTGCTCTGATATGTGGGCAAGAAGGTTATCCACACACTGCAGAATACAAGCATGCTAAAAGTCAGGAACTTGGCTTCATTGAAAGTGTCTGGCAGGTTCCTGGCCAAGAAAGCCACTGTGAAGCTCCCAAAGGCCAGCAAGGCCATGTAGCCGAGGACACAGTAGAAGGTAAGGATGGAGCCCTCATTGCACTGAATGACAATGAAGGCAGGCTCAGAGTATATATCTGTCTCCAGGAATGGGGGATAGGTCCCAAGCCAGATGCCACAGAGACACGTTTGGATTAGAGTACAGGTAAAAATGAGAGAATAAGAGGTTGTAGAGCCCAGCCACCTCCCGAGCTTGCTGCCTGGCTTTGTGGCCTTGAAGGCTAGAACCACAGTGATGGTTTTAGCTAAAACGGAGGCAATGGCCACTGTAAACACCACTGCAAATATGGTTTGTCGCAGGAGACAAGTGGCGGTGTTAGGACGGCCAATGAAGAGCAAGGGGCAGAGGAAGCAGAGGCTGAGGGAGCCCAGAAGAGTGTAGCTGAGACTGCGGTTATTGGCTTTGACTATGGGGGTGTCTTTGTGCTTCACAAAGAGTCCAAGGACCAGAGCAGTGAGGAGGGAGAAGCAGAGAGCTGCACAGGCCAGGGTCATTCCAAGAGGTTCTTCATAGGCCAGGAAGGTCACAGTCTTGGGGAGGCATCGATGTCTCTCCCTGCTTGGGTACTGATCTTCAGGGCACTGCAGACATTGCTCTGCATCTGTGAACAAACAAAAAAATAACTTCGCTGTATCCCATTTAGACTGTAGTTTTCTATCTCCAATAAAGCACAGTTTTAGTCATTCCACACTGAGTTCAGCTTCATTTTTTGCTCCTCCTCAGTTAGAAGGACAAGAATTTTAGAGGTTGAATAAGACAAACACATATTTCAGCATCTTCATATCTCTACCTACGGATAGAATAATGTGGTGAATATATTGATTCCCTATCATATGTTTACTAAACAAACGTTGAAGCTGCCTGTCATCTATTTCAATATTAAACCACCTACAATAAATCCTGAAGGGTAACTCTGTAGAGAATCATATGTTTTTAGAATAGAAACGAGGCATCGAAATCAACAATTCTGTCATTTTTTCATAGATGGACAATAGAGGACAAGAAAAAAATCAAAAATTAGATGAAAAAGACTTTTTAATGTATTTCTTTTAATGCAAGGTCATAACCATAAATCTCCATTTTTATGGTACGTGATTCTGCTTATGCAAATCAAACATTCTTCAAAAAAAGTAATTTCCGTTATGATTCTTATTATTTTTAATCAGAAAATATATTGTATACCCATGAAAATGTTTCCTTAGTTTCCACAGTATAGTGAGCATTTCAAACCTGTCTCTTCATGTTTTCTACTCATCAATGTTATAATATTATTGTGTAAGTGTGCATTACTCCAGCCTCAAGGAATACTACTCTTACACTGCCTGCTTCTTATATATTTTACATACAGGTATATTTCTTTTATGTTCTCAGAGCTATTAATAAGCTGTACAATTTTTAACTTTGAGGATTCTTCATGCTTATGAGATTGAGCCAAAAAGTGAAATACAGAGAGATACTCGTGAAAGCTTAGGGGAAAAGATGTTTCTCTGAGTCATTTAATGAATACCATTTCATCAAATAGCAAAATGGCTTAGGGATAATCCAGTACTCAATAAGAGGGATGTCACAGATTTAGTTATCACTTTGCAAATATTAAGGGAAAAACACTTTCAGTAGATTCACAGAGCCTATCAAATATGAAGTAATCTTCCAAATATATTAAATAGACACACTAACAAAAGACCAAATAAATATCTTAAATAGTGCAATATCAGATGAGAAAATTATAAAGGAACTACTGAAGGAGGGGCAAGTCTTGCTTCTGATGGATTGACAAGAGAATTTTATGAAAATTTTTTTTAAAATTAATACCAATATTACAGTCATTATTTTCAATGTTTTACACATGTATTACCAGATACATTTTATGAGTAGAATAAAACTGAATACCCAAAGCAGAGAAGCATAGAACACAGGTGATATATTTTAATATTACAGATAAATATTTGTTAAAAATTTTTAAATAAACTTTTATCAAATAGTCTGTATTGATTCACTCAAGATAAAATTAATTCTCTGCACATTGGATTTACATTAGATGTTGAAGAATAGTTCAACATGAGAAAAAATGACATATTTAAAATATCCAAAATCAAAAAAAAAATGCCATTACATGCAGAAAAATCATTTAACAAAGTAAAACAAATGCTTATTCTGAAAAATATACACAAAAATTAATGTAAAAAGAGAATTTTAATAAAACAATATTACAAGTTTTAAAACAAATATTATATGCAAAGACATACACGAGTATCTTTCCCAATAATTATAGGAAGAAAGTTAAGATAAAAGATCTCTTCCTTATTAATACTCTGGTTAATCTTTCACCATGGGATTATTTCATGAAGACTACCTCAAGAAGCTGGACTCCTGCTCTCCATCCAAATTCATCTCTGCTTAGGTAAAGTCTAGATTTGAAGTTGTAGATTATTCATATTTCCCTTAGGAGTGGGGAAGTTGAGGATTCAGTTTTAGTTTGAGCTTTCCTGCAGGAATGGGGAAGTTTACAACAAAGACCATAAGGGCAGAGAAGGATTATGCATTCTAATAGTAGTCAAACACTGGTGGGTTCTCCTTGGATAGATTTTTGGTGTCACTAACCACAGGATGCCCCTGAGAGTTACATGAATGACCAGAAACACATTGATTGAAAGTGATTGAATAAGTGCAGTATTATTTTAACTCATAAAATATCATTTTGGTAAATAAAAGTCACTTCAGATTAAGATTCCAAAAAAAATACAATTATATTAATTTGAAAGGACTATTTTCCTTTAGCAACCCACCTGTCTGGTTGGAAATCTGCCCTTCAGGGCATGGGGTGCACTCAAAGCAGCAGATAGGTTGACTTTCATGGACTGTTTTCTTGAATCCAGGGCCACAGCTCAGACTGCACATGGAAGTTGGAGTCTGTGTTTCCACCATAGAAAGGGAAAAAATGTCACTATAAGAATGATTGATGAAAGAGAGATTCACTGAGGTGATGATGACTTCAGATGTCTCCTATGGAAGACATTTTGAGGAAGGTATGTGCCATTCTGCAGGGCAAGGATGATCTAATTCTCAATGGAGACTTTCTTCCCATACTTCCATCTTCCACTCCAGATCATCTTTTCACCAATGAACACGTACAGGTTCTTCACTAGGCACAATTAAGCTACTTGATTTTTTAAATTTTTAATTTGTTTTTATTAATATTTTTTGAATTATCAATAATCACTTCCATATGCTTTTGAGTTTAAAATTTTTCTCCCCCTTCCTCCCCACCACCCTCCCCAAGATGGCACACAATCTGATATAGGCTATACATTTACATTCATATTAAACATATTTTCACATTAGTGATGTTGTAAGTAGAAATTAAAATCAATAGGAGGAACCATCAGAAAGAGGAAACAAAATTCAACAAAGAAAAAAAATAATAATTCGGCTCCCATAGCTCGTTCTTTGGGCGTGGATAGCATTTTCCATCACAAGGCCTCTGGAGATGTCTTATATCCTTGTATTGCCAGGAAGAGTTAAGTTTATCAATATTAGTCATCACAGAACATGGCTGTTATTGTGTACAACGTTCTCTTGATTCTCCTCACTTCACCCAGCATCAGACCATACAAGTCTTTCCAGGTTTTTCTGAGGTCAGCCTGTTCATCATTTCTTATAACACAATAGTATTCCATCACATTCATATACCACAACTTGCTCAGCCATTCCCCAATTGATGGGCATCCTCTCAATTTCCAATTCTTTGCCACCACAGAAAGAGCTGCTATGAATATTTTTGTACATGTAAGTCCTTTTCCCATCTGTGTGATCACTTTGGGATATAATCCTAGATATGCTATTGCTGGGTCAAAGGTTATGAACATTTTTATAGCCCTTTGGGCATAGTTCCAAATTGCTCTCCAAAATGATTGGATCATTTCACAACTCCACCAACAATGCATTAGTGTTCCAATTTTCCCACATACTCTCCAACATTTATCATTCTCCCATTTTGTCATGTTGGCCATTCTGATAGGTGTGATATGGTACCTCAGAGTTGTGATTTGCATTTCTCTAATTAATAGTGATTTAGAGCATTTTTTTATATGACTATAGATGGCTTTAGTTTTTTCATCTGAAAACTGTCTGTTCATATCCTTTGACCACTTATCAACTGGGGAAAGGCTTGTATTCTTATAAACTTGACTTATTTCTCTATATATTTTAGAAATGAGGCCCTTATCAGAGAGACTGGTTGTAAAAATTCTTTCCCAATTTTCTACCTTCCTTCTAATCTTAGTTGCATTGGCTTTGTTTGTGCAAAACTTTTCAATTTAATGTAATCAAAATTAACTATTTTGCTTTTCGTAATGTTCTCTATCTCCTGTTTGGTCATGAATTCTTCTGTTCTCCATAGATCTGACAGGTAAACTAGTCCTTGCCCTCTCAGTTTGATTACAGTATCAGCCTTCATATCTAAATCATGTACCCATTTTGACTTTATTTTGGTAGATGGTGTGAGATTTTGGTCTATGCCTAGTTTCTGCCATATTCTTCTCCAGTTTTCCCAGCAGGTTTTGTCAAAGAGTGGGTTCTTATCCCAGAAGCTGGGGTCTTTGGGCTTATCAAATAATAGATTACTACAGTCATTGGCTACTGTGTTTTGCATACTTACCCTATTCCACTGATCCACCACTCTATTTTTTAGCCAGTACCAAGAAGTTTTGATGATTGCTGCTTTATAATACAATTTAAGATCTGGAATGGCTGGGCCACCTTCCCCTGCATTTCTTTTCATTAGTTCTCTTGATATTCTGGACATTTTGTTCTCTCAAATGAATCCTCTTATTATTTTTTCTAACTCTATAAAATAATTTGTTGGTAGTTTGATTGGTATGGCACTGAGTAAGTAAATGACCTTAGGTAGAATTGTCATTTTTATTATATTAGCTCGGCCTACCCATGAGCAACTGATATTTTTCCAACTATTTAGATCTGATTTTATTTGTGCGAAAAGTGTTTTCTAATTGTGTTCATAGAGTTCCTGGGTTTGTTTTGGGAGGTAGACTCCTAAATATTTTATAATGTCTACAGTATGTTTAAATGGAATTTCTCTTTCTCTTGTTGTTGGGCTTTGTTGGTAATATATAGAAATGCCGATGATTTATGTGGGTTTATTTTATAGCCTGCAACTTTGCTGAAGTTGCTTATTATTCCAAGTAGTTTTTTTACTTGATTCTCTGGGATTCTCTAAGTGTAACATCATGTCATCTGCAAAGAGTGATAGCTTTGTTTCTTCTTTGCCTACTCTAATGCCTTCAATGTCTTTTTCTTCTCTTATTGCTAAAGCTAACGTTTCCAGTACGATGTTGAAAAACAGTGGTGATAATGGACATCCTTGTTTCACACCCGATCTTATTGGAAATGCTTCTAGCTTGTCCCCATTACATATTATGCTTCCTGAAGGTTTTAGATAGATGCTATTTATTATTTTAAGGAAGACTCCATTTATACCTATGCTCTCTAGTGTTTTTGATAGGAATGGGTGTTGTATTTTGTCAAAAGCTTTTTCTGCATCTATTGAGATGATCATATGGTTTCTGTTAGTTTTGGTGTTGATATGATGGATTACGCTGATAGTTTTCCTTATATTGAACCAGCCCTGCATTCTTGGTATAAATCCTACCTGGTCATAGTGTATTATTCGTGTGATAAGTTGCTGTATTCTATTTGCTAATATTTTGTTTAAAAATTTTGCACCTTATATTCATTAGAGAAGTTGGTCTATAATTTTCTTTCTCTGTTTTGACTCTTCCTGGTTTAGGTATCAGCACCATAATTGTATCATAAAAAGAATTTGGTAAGATTCCTTCTTTACCTATTTTACCAAATAGTTTATAGAGTATTGGAATTAATTGTTCTTTAAACGTTTGATAGAATTTGCATGTAAATCCATCTGTCCCTGGAGATTTTTTCCTAGAGAGTTCATCAATGACTTGTTCAATTTCTTTTTCTGAGATGGGGTTATTTAAGTATTTTGCTTCCTCTTCTGTTAATCTGGGCAATTTGTATTTTTGTAAACATATATCCATTTCACTAAGATTGTCAAATTTGTTGGCATATAGTTGGGCAAAATAATTCCTAATTGTTGTTTTAATTTCCTCTTCCTTGGTGGTAGTTTCACCCTTTTCATTCTTGATACTAGTACTTTGGTTTTCTTCTTTCTTTCTTTTTAACTAGATTAACCAAAGGTTTATCTATTTTATTGGTTTTTTTCATAAAACCAGCTCTTAGTTTTATTTATTAGTTCAATAGTTCTCTTCATTTCAATTTTATTTATTTTTCCTTTAGTTTTCAATATTTCTAATCTGGTGTTTAATTGAAGATTTTTAATTTGTTCTTCTTCTAGTTTTTTTTTAGTTGTATGCCCAATGCATTGATCTCTTCTTTTTCTATTTTATTTATGTAAGCATTTAGAGATATAAAACTTCCCCTAAGAACTGCTTTTGCTGTATCCCATAAGTTTTCCCATTTTGTCTCATTATTGTCATTCTCTTGAAAGAAATTATTGATTGTTTCTATGATTTGTTGTTTGACCCAATCATTTCTTAGGGTTAGATTATTTAGTTTCCAATGATTTTTTAGTCTATCTTTCCATGGCCCTTTATTACATATAATTTTTATTGCATCATAATCTGAAAAGGATGCATTTACTATTTCTGCCTTTCTGCACTGGATTGTGAGGTTTTCATGCCTTAGTACATGGTCAATTTTTGTGTATGTGCCATGTACCACTGAGAAAAAGTATATTCCTTTCTATCCTCATTCAGTTTTCTCCACAGGTCTATCATACCTACCTTTTCTAATGTTCTATTCACCTCCTTAACTTCTTTCTTGTTTATTTTGTGGTTTTATTTATCTAGTTCAGAGAGGGGGAGGTTGAGGTCCCCCACTAGTACAGTTTTGCTGTCTATTTCTTCCTGTAACTCCCTGAACTTCTCCTCTAAGAATCTGGATGCCATACCATTTGGTGCATATATGTTTAGTAATGATATTACTTCATTGTCTATGGTGCCTTTTTAGCAGGATGTAGTTTCCTTCCTCATCTCTTTTGATAAGATCTATTTTTGCTTTTACTTTGTCTGAGATCAGGATTGCTACTCCTGCTGTTTTTTTACTTCAGCTGAAGCATAATATATTCTGCTCCTGCCTTTTACCTTTACCCTCTGTGTGTCACTCTTTTTCAAATGTGTTTCCTGTAAACAACATATTGTAGGATTACGGTTTTTAATCCAATCTGCTATACCCTTCCGTTTTATGGGAGAGTTCATCCCATGCACATTTACAGTTATGATTACTATCTGTGTCTTTTTCTCCATTGCTTTTTCCCCCCTGTTTAAGCTTTTCTTTCTTCTTTCTTCTTCGCCCCCCACTAGTGTTTTGCTTTTGACCACTGCCTCCTCAGTCCCACCTCCCTTCTATTATCTCTTTCCCTTTTCTTCCCCTTTATCCTTATTCCTTCTTCCCTCCCTTCTATCCCCCCTCCCTTTTCTTTCCCTTTTTGCCTCCTACTGCCTATAGTGCAAGTTAGATTTCTATATCTAACTGATTATGTTATTCTCTTCTTGAACCAAATCTGATGAGAGTGAGGTTAAAACAACACTCATCTCCCTCCCTTCTTTACCTCAGCTCTAATAGGTTTTTGTGTCTTTTCCTGTAATGTAATTTGCCCCTGTCTGCCTCCTCCTTTCTCAGTATATTTTCTTAGCTCAGACTAATGCACTTACTTGGATCCATGTAACCCACTTGATGAAAATTTTTTTTTATCATTACATCAAAGTCAACTTATATCCACCCCCTTTATGTATACTCCTTTAACATGGTATAATAACAATACAGTTCTCAAGAGTTGCAAGTGTCATCTTCCCTTGCAGGGATGTAAACATTTTGCCCTTATTAACAACATATTGTATCTTTCTGTCCCATTTACCTCTTTATGTCTCTCTTGAATCTTGTACTTGAAGATCAAATTTTTTGTTGAGCTCTGGTCTTTTTATCAGGAACATTTGGAAGTCCCCTATTTCACTGAATATCCATCTCCCTCCCTGAAAAATCATGCTCATTTTTGCTGGGTAGTTAATCCTTGGCTGCATTCCAAGCTCCTTTGCTTTATGGAACATCATGTTCCATGCCCTGTGGTCTTTTAGTGTAGAGGCTGCAAGATCCTGTGTAATCCTGACTGTGGTTCCATGATATTTAAATTTTTTTCTTTCTGGCTACTTGCAGTAATTTCTCTATAATCTGGTAATTCTGGAATTTAGCTATTACATTCCTTGACGTTTTCAATTTGGGATCTCTTTCAGGTGGGGAGTGATGGATTCTTTCTGCAGTTATTTTACCTTCAGGTTCTAGGACTTTCAGGGCAGTTTTCCTTCTTGATTTCCTGAAGGACATTGTCCCGGCTCTTTTTTTCATCATGACTTTCAGGTAGGCCTATAATTTTTAAATTGTCTCTCCTGGATTGATTTTCCAAGTCAACTGTTTTACTCATGAGGTATTTTACATTTTCATCTATTTTTTTCATTTTTTTGTTTCTGTTTGATTGATTCTTGCTCTCTCATAGAGTCATTAGTTTCCATTTGTTCAATTCTAATTTTTAACATGTTGGTTTTTTTTTCTGTCAGATTTTGTACTTTCTTCTCCAATTGGTCAATTGTATTTTTAAGGGATTTACTTTCTTCATTGTACTTTTTTTCCAGTTGTACAATTGTGTGTTTTAGGGACTTGTTTTCTTCTGTGTACTTTTTTTCCAATTGGCCAATTGTACTTTTAAAGGACTCCTCTACCTCTCTCATTTGACTTTTAAAATCCTTCTTCAGTTCTTCTAAGAAGGATTTTTGGGCTTCAGACCAGTTCATATTCCCTTTTGATGTTCCCGATGTGGGTTTGATGACAGTGTTGTCCTCTTCAGAATTTCTGTCTTGATCTTCACTCTTCTCATAATAAGAATCTATCATACGCTTCTTTTTACCCATGGTGTTTCTTTATTTCCTAGCCTTTACAGAGATTAAGCTCTCCTCCTGGGGAGCAGAGGGCACTGACCCAAGCTTCTTGTGTTGGGAGCCTAGGTCTTGGTCACTGACTTTGGGAGCTGGGGCCTCTTATGTTGGCAATTGGAGGCTGTAGGGTTCCGGCAGCTTTTGTGGTGTTGGGCTGGAATCAGCAAGGCTGGGACTTTCAGGCAAATCTAGGTTGCCTGCTTTTCCTTTCCTTTAGCTTTGTTTAGCTCCTTTTAGCTAAGTGCTGCCAGGTGTTTATCTGCCTGGGGACCCTCACAGTGCTGTCTCCCTTATTTCTGTTGAGGTAGTGGGAGACCTCTGTGCTGTAGAATGCCTAGGCACCTGGTGGTTTTCTGAGCTGGTTTCCACCAGTTACCCTACCCTCACTGAGGCACTCGGAGGTACAGCTTTTGGCGTTTGCCTGCTGAAATAAGTCATGGACTATATAAGGGGAAATATTTCTTTAATTTCCCCCCCTCAAAGTCCTATTTTTTTTTTTGGTTTTCATAAAGTATCCTCAATATCTCAGGGAATCATGATGTTAAAGAGTATACACTGTAAAGACTAATTATACAGTTTACCTTGCTTAAATCTAAATAAGAATTGGATGTTTTGACTGGTTGATCTTATTCTTGGGCTGACATTTGGAGCCTCCTCTGGGGATTATTGTGAAGGGTGGGGTGTGAATTATCAAATCATATCTACAACATTTAAATTAATAATATCTAAAAGTCATTGTCCTTCTTGGGGACACAAATTCAGGATTAATTACGTACGTATCTATAAAATTTCAGATATTGGATAGTCTTTGGTGCAACAGGTCCTCTTGGGAGAAAAAAAACAAATTCTCCACTCTCCACTCTATTCTTCAAATTTTATCTGATGTGGGATATTCCAAGGTTCTCTAAGTATGAACAATTCAGATCATTATGTAACTTAGCTGGAAAGAGTTTGCAAGTAGGATTGAAAAAAAAAAAGAAATCAGAGCTCTGCTTTACTCAGAGCAGAAATAAAGAGTAAGTGAATACTACAGCCCCAGCCCCATCACAGGCATTTCTATTGTCTGTGGGGAAGTTCCTGCTGCCAATGGAGAAACAACCTTATCTAGGATGCTAAACAGGCAAAGTAATAAAGCTCCTATTATTCACTGGCCCCTTACCTGAGAGAAATCTTTTGGCCAATCAATGTCTTCTTCGTTAATGCCAAATACCTGATTATGAGGGATCACTTCACCAACTTTTACCAGTATCTCAATCCGAACAGGGAAGTATTTATAATTCAGGATATCATATGTCTCAGCAGCCATCCTGGTTCCATCTCCACATGACTCATCACTGCCACGATTAATAGGACTGGGGCACTTCAGGAAGTGGTGAAGCTGAAGATAAGAACAGGAATTTGTTAATCTGTGGGGAAAGAAGGATTCATACCTATGTCCCAAGCTTGAGCATCAACAGCAAAGAGCCTCTGAATTTTGAGCTTCCAGAAGTTCTTATTCTGTCTTTTCTTCTTCTTAAGCTCCTCTTACAGTCTGCACTCTTTTTCTCCTTTTCCATAACCAGCCATGGACAATGGAAGAATAGAAAAGCTGGTAAACAATTATGTGCTTTAGATTCCTCTCACCAAATCAAGAATTCCGTCCAAATATCTCTGACATTTTGAATTCCAAGCTCTTTCCTAAAACCTGTGGTTACAGGAAACTCAGCACCTTCTAGAAGCAAAAGCTTACCATTTATACCCCATTATAGAGACCCTCAATAACTGGGATTTTATTTTCCTTTCTTTGTAAACCTAGAACTTAGCACATATCCTAGGACATAGTGGGTGCTTGAGAAATGTGTTTTGATGGACTGATATTTAGGATAAATTTTACTCCTTGTACAAAAATCTCTTTAATTAAAAAATGCCCAATGTAAATCCCTGAAGTGGTGGATAAAGTAAACTTAGAAATAAAGGACATTTGACATTCAAAGTTATGCAATTCAAGGTAAAGAATGAAACTCAATTACAAATGAGTAAGACACTAAACAATTCGGGAAATTGAGTGATGCAATAGAAAAGATAATTATTTCAATGGAAGAAATTAGGAAACAAATTACATAACGATAAAGTAGAAGAAAATGAAACATCAACACAACCTGAGGAAAATTTGAGAAGCAGAGTTTTCAGCAAAAGCTAGAGAATTATTTTGGATACACAGGATTTGGATGTCATCCTTCAATGGAAAATATTCAAAAAAATCGCCCAGAGAGATTGTAAATATAGAATGAGACGGTCAAAAAGAGAAATGAAGCCTATATTCTTCTCACTTAGAAATGCTAAGATTTCATTTTTCAGGGGGAAAAGAATCTAACAGGCCAAAAATAAATGTTTGGTGTTCAATCATTGAGGCCTGTCCAACTCTTTATGACCTAATGGATGATAGCATGCCTGCCTCTTCTATTGGCCACTGTATCTCAAAGTCTGTCCGAGTTAATGTTTGTACATTCCATGACACTATCTGTCTATCTCATCCTCTGCCATCCCCTCTTTCTTTTATCTTCAATCTTTTCCAATATCAAGGGCTTTTTTGATGAGTCCTAGCTTCTCATTATGTGACCAAAGTATTTAAACTTCAGCTTAAGGATTTGACCTTCCAGTGAACAACCTGAATTAATTTCTTTAAGTATTGAACGATTTGATCTCCTTGCTGTCCAAAAGCATCTCAAACATCTTCTCTAGCACAACAATTCAAAAGCATCAACTCTGCAGCAGTAAGCTATCCTTATTGTCCAGTTATCACAGCCATACATTGCTACTGAAAAAACAAACAACCAATAAACATAGCTTTGACTATACAGAGCTTTGTCAGCAAAGTTTAATTCAGGTAATTATCACATATGCTACTATGGGCAAGAATTTCTTAGAAGAAATAGAGTAGCCCTTAGAGTAAATAAAAAGGTGAGAAAATCAGTACTAGGATACCATCACAGAAATGACAGAATGATATCTATTCAAATCCAAAGCATACCACTTAACATCATAATAATAGACATCTATGTTTCAACCACTGATGCCTAAGAGGTCAAAGTTTATCTGTTCTATGGACGCTTGAAATATCTTCTACAAATAACACCAAAAAGATGTTACTTTCATCACAGGGGACAAGAAGGTTAAAGCAGAAAATCAAAAGAGAATTAGAATACCAGGCAAGGTTGGCCTTGTAGTTCAAAATGAAGAAGAAATACGTATAAGAAAGCCAGCTTATATCATACAAATTTACTAATCCACAACAGTAAATAAGAAAATGAAATAAAATATAATGTAGTAAAAATCATATGAACATAGCTTTCAGTACTAAATTTCCTACCTAGCCAAACAATTTCTGTTACTATATTTGAGAACACTTGTGTGGTATCTGTGTGTATGTATCTATACATAAGTATATAAAGTTTGAGTAGTCCAGTAATTATAGAAAAGGGGGCAAAACTTCGTAAACATGGACATTACTGAGACAAAGTGCCCTTAGCTTTCTTGAAGGTGAACAAAGAAGTAGCAAGTCATTTGTAGGTGGAAATTATTATGTTCCCTGTAAGGTGCCAAAGAAATATAATGAGATAACAACAATGTGTTGATCAGTACATCTGACAGGAAAGAACAAAGAGAACCTTGAAGAGGAAAGAAGGAGGTATGACTGGGAATAGTTAGTGGGCCCTCTAAATGAGTAACACAAATAAAATCCAAGCTAGTAAAGAAAAAGGGGAAAGAGGGACAGTAGATAATCATCAAGTCTCCTGGCTAAATAAAAGAAGGTCATTGAATTTAGCTCATTAAAAATTATTTATCGGGTAGAGCCAGGAGGGCAGAGTAGAGGCAGCAACCCAACTGAATTCTCTCAATATTCTCCTCCAAACATGCATCAAATCACATTCTAAGCAGTACAGCCAATAAAAGGTCACGAGGAGGCATTTTTTCAATGCAAAACAACTTATAAGGTTGGAAGGAGAGGTCTGTGACCCCTTTTTGGTGTCCAAACCAGAGGAAACATTGTAAACACAAAAGCAGTGGCCATTGGAGGCAGCTGCAGCGGCTTCAGCCCAAAGACTAACCGGAGCAGAAAGGAGAAGAGAAAGAGGAGGAGGGCAAGGAGGAGTAGGAGGAGATGGAGAAATAGTGGTATTTGTATTGTAATTATAAAACTGTACATTTGAACATGTATTTTACATTATAATGTATAATTATATGATATTGCTCAGTTAGTAATTATTTTATAAATGATAACTGTGAGAAGAATAATTATATTTTTTAGTAAACTAAGCATTTATGAAAGTAGTTACTATGTGCCAGATTCTGGACTAGGTAATTTACAAATATGATTTTCTTTTATCCTCATAACAAACCTCAGAGGTAGTTATAGTTATTGTCACCATAGTGTAGTAAAAGAAACTGAGACAAATAAAGGTTAAGTGACTTTCTCAAGATCACATGGCTATTATGTGTCTGAGTCTACATTTGAATTAGTTCTTCCTGTCTAGACCCAGTACTAAGCCAAGTACCAGAACTGTCTGATTTTTAAAAGAGAAAAGTAAATAAACCCATTAAAATAACAAAACAGCCAATTCACAGAAGGCTGGAACTTCTCCCTCTGATTTATAAGCAGAGATCCAATGCTTCAAATCCCCTCAGAAACTATATACAGTTGATGCAATTCTTTGTGTTTGGCCTACATTTATCTTTGTTTCAGTCTGATTTTTTTCTCTACCACTCCATTTACTAAGTCAATTTGCTTAGAGATTGGTTATAAGGATCTCATTATAAGATTCACAACCAGAACAAACAACTCCTTATCTAGTTTTTTTTTTTAAACTTCTTTTTGTATTCTATTGCAAAACTTATTCCCAGTGGACAGTAAACAAGGAAATGATAATTGAGCAGACATTTTTTCTATTGTCAATTATAATTTTTCCATCCAACCAAAGTTGTGTCCTCGTCTATTCCTTACTCATTCTCTTTCAAGCAATATAACATCTGCAAAAATTAAAAGAAAAAATAACTTTTTCTATTAACATCATTTCCTCAACAGACTCAGATAATTCTGATCCTTAGTACTCTTGGAACTATTCTTTCAGAGTTGTTTCATGTTTTGCCTTGGTAATCTGTTACATGCCCTTTCTTCCTTCTCCTGTACATACACTGGTGGTTTAGTTTTTTTTTGTTTTTTTTTTTTTGTATTTTATCATTGGCAGATACAAACAAGACTTCTTTTTCTTCCACATTGGGATCATTTCTATTTTAACTACTGAATTACTGTCTTGGAACTTCCTGTCTATCCTGGGATGACTGATCTTATAGAATTTCAGAATAGAGAAATATTCTCATTGAGATGTTTGAATTATGCTCTCTCCAGGTCTAGACTGCTGATTATTCCATACCCAGATGTCCTCTCTTGTATTATGAATGCTACTAGGCTTTGATCACTCCAACATTTCCACCACAACAACCAGTTCCTTCAAGCACTGAGAATCTTATACATTATAAAACTTCTGTTAAAAGGTTCCTCTGCATTTTAGAAAAAGAATGTATCATTGACGCAAGTGTATCCATGTACAAATATCATGTCTGCTGCTCAGTTATAGATGTTGATAGAAGTTAAAATTGATCAATGAGGAATTACACTAAGCACCTTGGCATTAGCAATGTTATGACCCAGGCCACTGTAAAGGCCCTAAATTGGAACAAATTTAATGAAACTCTCCTCCCATATAAACTCGTACCCAGAGAGATGTTTAATAGGAAGAATGCCAACAACTTCACCAACGTGGTTACATCAGAGTTGGAATAAATGCCTATTTTCTGAGGTAATTTTATTGTTTTCAACCAGAAATCAATGTAATCACAAATGAAAAAAAAAAGGGAATAAGAGGTAGTATTGACATCTCTTGTCATTGCTGTAACATTTACAGCATACATAACTAACAATTGAATGTTGGAAGTACTCAGTGTTAAGCTCAGAACTGGAAGAGAAATGTTACCATCCAAGAAAGATCTGGGTTACTTCCAAGTTGTAATGTCTCTTTTGCCTCAGACTGGAGCATTTCGTGGAGAGCATGAGCCACTAAATATACTGCATTGTAGACATTAGAACTCAGTTCCATAATGATCTTATCAAAATTTATAAAAGGTAAATCTGCCCAGGAAACACCTTCTGGGCACATAGTATCTAACATTTGTACATGACTTTTTTCTGAAAATCTACATTTAAGGAGTGATTCAAAGAAAGTCCTTAGGAAAATGTCCTCAGAGTTTACACTGGGATTCAGGCTTCTTACAAAATCTGTGAAACCAGGAATCTCCATCTGGGAAGAAGAAAATAGTAATGTACCATGAAAATGGGTAAGCAGTTCCAAATTACTATCAAAAGAAAAATCCCAAGCAGTGGTGGCAACCAACGTCTTCCCATGAAGTACATAAGCAATGAATGCAATAGCCAGTTCTTGAAGGGAGTCTGTATCTCCATAGACGAAAATCACATTTGATGATGATGCAGTGATCCTAGAAGAGAGTCTATAATATTCATCACCTTTGAAGTTTGGGGGCACACTTTCCTTAAAAGCCACACACAGACCATTCTTGTCCATCTCCTCTTTCAGATGACTGAAGAAATTTTCCCCTCTCATGTTGTCTGAAAGAACCAGTCCCACCCAAGTCCAGCCAAAATGGAGCATCAGTTGGATGAATGCAAGGTGAAGAGTGGATTCCCTGCTGCCCATCTGATAGACATATGGATACTGGACCTTATCAGTCAGGAGAAGATCAAATAAGCCATAGGTGATCTAAATGAAAAAGAAAAAACGACTAGAATGATTATTTGAATTCCTTCAGAGTAGGAATTTCTTCAATTTTCCATTTGTATATCAAACAACTATCAGTGGTTTACACAGAGCAGCTAATGAAGACATGCTTATTAAATTTAATGTATAGGGGCAGCTAAGTGGCTGCAGTGGATAGAGCATCAGCCTTGAAATCAGGAGAACCTGAGTTCATATCCAGCCTCAGACACTTGACACTTACTAGCTGTGTGACCCTGGGCAAGTCACTTAACTTCAAAGCTCCAGGTTACCAGAAATCCACTTTAAGTAAAACATCCCTGTGGAAGGCTCAGGCAACTAGGAGCCAAACATTCATGTGCAAAGCCCCAGTGAGCATGACAATAAGCTTGATTAAGTGCCCCTTTTGCTCAAGCAGGAGAAGTCAACGGTTTTTGTTGTTGTTGGTAAAACAGTCAGAACATAGGTAAACAAAAAGCAGAAACGTAAAATGACCATAGATTCCTATTTTGGGGTAAGGGAAGATCAAGGCACAAATTCAAAAAAGGACATTGTTAATATACCCACATATGAAACCTCAAAGGGGAATATAAACTGGTCTCAAGCCTGAAAAGCCTTCTTAGAAGAACTCAAGAAAGATTTTAAAGGTCAAATAAGAGAGGTAAAAGAAAAATTGGGAAAAGAAATGAAAATCAAGCAAAAGAGAGTCAATAGCTTAGAAAAGGATAGACAAAAATTCGGTATACAAAACAAGTCCCTAAAAAGTAGAATTGGTCAAATGGAAAAGGAGGCACAAAAACTCACTGAAGAGAAGGACTTCTTAAAAAGTCAAATGGGCCAAATGGAAAAGGAGGGACAAAATCTCATAGAAGAAAACAACTCCTTAAATTAGAATGGAGCAAGTGGAAGCTAATGACTTTATGAAAGAGCAAGAATCAAACAGAAAGAAAAAAATGAAAAAAAAATAGAAGAAAACATAAAATACCTCATTGGTAAAACAACTGAGCTGGAATATAGGTCCAGAAGAGACAATTTAAAAATTATTGGTCTACCTGAAAACCATGATGAAAAAGAGTCTGAACAACATCCTTCAGGAAATCAACAAAGAAGACTGCCCTGATGTCCTAGGACCAGAAAGTAAATTAGTCATCAAATGAACCCACCTATTACCTCCTGAAAGAGATCCCAAGGTGAAAATGCCATGGAATATAGTAGATAAATTTGAAAACTACCAGATCAAAGAGAAAATACTGCAAGTAGCCAGAAAAAAATTAAATACGATGGAATCAGTCACGATTACACAGGACCTTGCAACTTCTACATTAAAAGATTGGAGGGCATAGAAAACACTATTTTGTAAGGCAAAGGAGCTTGAATTAGAACCAAGGAAAAACTACTCAGTGAAAATGAGAACTATCTTTCAGGGGAGGAGATGGACATTAATGAAATAGGAGATTTCTAAACATTCCTGATAAAAAGACCATAGCTCAACAGAAAATTTGACCTTTAAATACAAGACTCAAGAGAAGCATAAAAACTAAATAGGAAAGAAAAGAAAACCAACATATTATTAATAATGGCAAACTGTTTACATCCCCACAAGGGAAGATGACACTTGCAGTTCTTTTGTTTTTTTTTTTCAGGCCAAAACAATAATTTATTATTTCAGCATTCAGCAACATCTCAGCCATCAGAAATAAGACCCTAACACTGAAAGATGGAAGGAAGAATTCTCTACAGCATGATTAGATAGGCTGCATCCAGAGGCCCCCAGGGTGCCACAGGTGGGAAGGATGGTGGTTATTGATTCATCCAATAAATTAGGAATCACAGAATTCAGGGGGCCAACTGCTCATTTCTGGGCTGGCTTAAGGTAATAGATGGACTGACCCTGCTCCAAATGGCTTCTCCATCTCAATGAACAACTGCACACCATCAACCACCATCTGTACCAGCTGCACCTCTGAGAAACCCAGTCAGTCAGCATTGGCAATGTCAAAGACACCACTCACATCTGCTGTGTCCACACCCTCTATCCCCTTCTTTTCCAGCCTCAGTTTCTTCAGCACATCACCAAATTTCTCAGGCTTGCCAGATGGAGAAGTTTGATGTGAACACTTGCACATAGGCTTAGGTTGGTGGGGCATGTGAGGGTGTACCCCATTTGAAAATTCCGATGGATTCATAGTTCTTGATCTTAAAAAGGGTTTCAGTCTTGGTGAGCCCCATACAGAAACGTGTGAACCCCTCCTTCATGTTAACCTCTCTTCTGTATGGAGATGACCCTCACATGATCTTCCTCATTGATCCACACCATAAAGGTCTTCTCATTGTGCTAAATATCCCTGCAGTCAGGCCATTCTCAGACCATGCCAGATGCCAAGAGGAGTGGGGAGACAGGCTTGTCGAAGAAAAAGTGGTCATCAATCAGCTGCTACTGTACCTGCTCAGTCGTCTTCTTCAAAGGATAGTACTTCCCATTCAGATCACCATCCAGGCTGGCCAGAGCTTACACAGAGAGCTTCTCCACAGCACAGTGCTCACCCTGGCTACGATGTGAGAGCAGGCAGAATCCTTGGATGTTCTGGTCAGTTGTAACACAAGAACTCAGCATATAATTAGTATATAGGTCATCACCATCCTGCAGATTGTAAGAGTTAAGATCAGTCTTATGCTCATCTGAAGGCTTGGAGCCTCCATGTCAGTCCTCAATGATAGGATCAAACAGTTCCTTCAAGACATCATAGCTCTCTTCATCTCCTGTCACACAGCCCACAGTCATGATGAACGAGGTGCCCTGGGTTGTCTACAACAGTCTGGATGACATACTAGGTCATCAAAACCCCACAATCAAATTCAGAAAGGTAGAAATGCATCCTTTTCAGATCATGGTGAAATAAAAATTACATGTATTAGAAGGCCTTGAAATGATAGACTAAAAATTGGAAATTAATAATCTAATCCTAAAGAATGAGGGCATCAAACAATGAATCACAGAAACAATCAATAACTTCATTCCAGAGAATGGCAATAATGAGACAACACTCCAAAACTTTTGGGATACAGCAAAAGCGGTCCTTAGGAGTAGTTTTATATCTCTAAATGCTTATATGAATAAAATAGAGAAAGAAGAGATTAATGAATTGGGCATTCAACTGAAAAATCTAGATAAAAAACAAATTGAAAATCTCCAATTAAATACCAAAATTAGAAATTCTGAAAGCTAAAGGAGAGATTAATGAAATTGAAATTAAGAAAACTATTTAGCTAATAAAACTAAGAGCTGATTTTATGAAAAAAAATAAAATAGGTGAATCTTTAGTTAATTTGATTTTAAAAAGGAAAGAAAACCAAGTTACCAGCATCAAAAGTGAAAAGGATGAATTCACCACCAGTGAACAGGAAATCAAAACACTAATTAGGAGCTATTTTGCCCAACTGTATGCCAATAAATTTGATAATCTTAATGAAATGGATGAATATCTACAAAAATATAAATTGCCCTGATTAATGGAAGAGGGAATAAAATACTTAAGCAAACCTATTTCCAAAAAAAAAAAAAATGAATAAGCCACTGATCAACTCCCTAAGAAAAAATCTCCAGGGCCAGATGGATATACACGTGAATTCTATCAAACAATTAAAGAACAATTAATTCCAATACTATATAAACTATTTGGAAAGATAGGTGAAGGATGAGTCCTACCAAGTTTTTTGTATGACACATATATGGTGCTGATACCTAAACCAGGAAGAGCCAAAACAGAGAAAGAAAATTATAGATCAATTTTCCTAATGAATATGGAAGCAAAAAATTTTAATAAGATATTAGCAAAGACATTACAACAATTTATCTTGGGGATAGTACACTATGACCAGGTAGGATTTATACCAGACATGCAGGGCTAGTTCAATATTAGGAAAACTATCCGCATAGTTTAGCATATCAACAACAAAACTAATAAAAATCATATGATTATTTCAATAAGTGCAGAAAAAGTATTGGACAAAATATAACACCCATTCCTATTAAAAACACTAGAAAGCATAGGAATGAATGGAGTGTAAGTTAAAATGATAGACAGCATCTATCAAAAACCATCAGCAAGCATTATATGCAATTGGGATGAATTGGGGGATTTGTAATAAGATTGGGGATGAAACAAGGACGTCCAGTGTCACCACTGTTCTTCAATATTATGCTAGAAATGTTGGATATAGCAATGAGAGAAGGAAAGAAAAATAAAAGAATTAAAATAGGCAAAGAAGAAACAAAGATCACTCTTTGCAGATGATATGATGGTATATCTAGAGAACCCTAGAGAATCAAGTAAAATATTACTTGAAATAATAAACAAATTTAGCAGAGTTGCAGGATAGAATTAAATTACTTATTCAATGCCATGCCAATCAAACTACCAAAATGATTTTATAGAGCTAGAAAAAAGAATAGCATTCTTCTTCCAGAAGAACAAAAGGTCCAGAATATCAATGGAATTAATGAAAAAAATGCAAACTATGGCAACCTAGCAGTAACTGATCTTCAACTATATTATAAAGCAGCAGTCAACAAAACTACTTGGTACTGGCTAAGAAAGAGAGTGGTGGATCAGTGGAATGGGTTAGTTTTGCAAGACACAACAATCAGTGATTATAATAATCTACTATTCCAAAGATTCTGACTTCTGGGATAAGAAATCACTACTTAGCAAAAACTACTGGGAAAACTGGAAGACATATATGGCAGAAACTGGGCATAGATGAACATCTTACTCCCTATACTAAGATAAAGTCAAAACTGGGAAGAGAAATGAGAGTGATGCAAGAAAATCAAGAAAAACAACTTAATAGTTTGGTAAAGGAGAGACCCCCAAAATACTGAAGAAAATAATACCTTAGAAATAGCTTAACCTAAATGGCAAAAGAGGTCCAAAAAGCCAATGAGGAGAAGAATGCCTTAAAAAGCAAAATTTGCCAGATGGAAAAGGAAGTCCAGAAGGTCACTG